CATTTCTGTGTAAATACGAACTACCCGCCAAGTAGTTCAAATTTTTTTGGATCACCAAGCAATACTTCTCAAAAATGTACTCATATGCATTGTTTAAGATTAAGAATTGCGTATATTATTTTATATTTGTCATATTTTTAAAGTGTTAGCTGCTATATTTAAAAAAATAAGTCTACTGTACTTTATTCCATCAGTAAAATGTCGAAGTAAATCCAGTCATCGAAGAGTATTCGCTAAATTTTGGCATACATTGATAAAGTATTTAGATAATTCATAATTTAATGGTTTATAATTCACTCAAGTATTTGTACAGTTACTAATTTACTAAAATGTATAAATGACATATTTTCTTCTCAAATCATATCAGAATATTACTCAAGAATATCATACAAGAAATGATGAATGCCAGTAAAGTACGTGTAATGTGAAACTTTCGTATTATTTACTGTATTTATTAAAAACAAAATGTCCAACAAAAATAAGAAATACGCCATAATATCTGAAAATATAAGTGCAAAAGCACGTAAGGAACTATTTTATTCTGAATCACTGCTTTGCACAGGCAAGCATTTACCCAAATTATTTGACCACTTATTATTTCGTCGACATGTGTGTTGCTTTGGTCCACTATATTCAAGATCAAAATCACATTCCACTTTTGCTTTGGTATTTACTGGATAATTCATTTTTCCATTAGCACTTTTACTATATTTCATCTTAAAAAATAATATGCCATAAATTCTTGAACTTGAATATTAATACCTATAAATGCATTTAAAAAATGAAAATAAAGAACTTATAAGCAAAAAAATTGCTTGAGATAGAAGTTAAAATCAGACAAATCTGAGCAATGTATTATTTTTGATCCAAACAATCAATCTAATCATTCCAACCTCTTCAATCATAATTTTAAAAATTTCATCTTATGCATCCTTCTTTATTAACTGCAAAATTTTTATGAAATTCAAACAGTTTAAATTATTTTTAATAATAAACATATATTTACATGGCCATTGGGAACTTCGATTGCTTTACATCCCATTTCTTTAACATGATGAAGCCCAAAAAAATTACACATAGGTGTCGGCGCTGACCACTCATTATTATGACAAAATGAATATGGATAACCTTCCACCTTGGCTTGTAAACCACATGAAAACGCTGCCAGTGTACCAGAAGGAACTTCTTCAAGCAAATGATCTAGAACGAGTTCTGGCTGCAAACAAATTAGTTATAACATTATTATTAATAATAGGTAACAAGAAAATACAATAACAAAAAAATATATATCTTTTTATAAAATATTCAAATTTATAAAATTTTAAAAATGTCTGAGAATAAGATAATAAAAGCATTAATTTCCCACTCATTTAAAAAAATAATAAATGTAAAGCTTGTATTAAGTAAATAAATGCTTTATTACATGAGTATATTGGATTTTTCCATTGAAACCATCAAGAACTGAACAAGAAGCACCATCAGTTAATCCAACACATTTGCCTGATAACAAGTTAAAAATTGCAAAAAATTCTTTTTACACCTTCCAGTTAAAATTTCATTTTGAGGGCAGAAAAAATTTTTAAATCTTTAATTGAATGAATAATTTAACATACTTAATTTAGGCACTTATTTAAGAACCGATATGATTGTGCAGATTAGTTTTTAAACTCAATAATAATAAGGATAGCTTAATCATTACCCAAAGGTGGTTCCCACTGGGAATTTTCATTACAACGAGAAGTCGCTATACCCTGTGCTATGTAACCATAATTGCACAATAAGGAAGCTACTGTACCCTGCGGTGCAACTAAATGCATTAATGGTGGGTTGTAAGTAACGGTTTCATTCAGTTTCAGTAAATACGGTGGGCATAAGGCTACTGAAAAAAAAAAGCATTGAAAAAAACAATGATATTAAAATCTAATATAATATGGAAAGATAATTTAGTCAAGAAATAATAATAATAAAATTATAATGCAATGGAAAATATAGAAATATGATACAATATAAAAACAGTGATCTTAAATAATGTGAATAGAAACTACATTATACAAACTTTTTGAAGCATAATTTTGTAAACAGATGATTTAAATGCAAAAAGTGATAATGAATTAAGTAATGAGTAAATACCTTACAAAATTATACCTTTTAAAAATACTTAATTTTGGAAGTAAATTGACATCCAACTCAATTTTTTGCTTACTGCATAATAATTACCATTATTTTGAAAAGACTGAACTAAAGAAATGAACGTAATGAAGTATAAAGTTAAGTTGAAGTTATTTAAAAGCATATATTTATTTTAAAGCAATATTCATCATGAAAAATTTTATTAAATAAGTAAAACGAAATACTAACCTGTCATTTTTTCTTGAATAATTGCTAGCAGTGATATCCCACAAAATAAAATCAGTTTCCACATCTTGGCCATATTCATATTCAGAAGTTATTGGTTACCGAAAAAAAACATATTGTATGAAAAATTAATTTAAAAGTTATTTTAAATAAAATTAAAATATAAACAATTCATTATATATTCTTACGCATTTATTATATGAAAAAAAAAAA